TCCTCCCGGCTCCTCTCGGCTCCTCTCGGCTCCTCTCGGCTCCTCCCGGCTCCTCTCGGCTCCTCTCGGCTCCTCCCGTCGCCTGCTGCACGAGCGGATCGTTGATGCACGCGTCGTGCTGGCACCAACCGTGCGCAGACGTGCGGATCTCGGTCTTGACGTCGCCGAAGGTGCCGTCCTCCTTAAGGCCTGATCACACCCGCCCGCCGTGAAGAGACGCCGTTCACACCTCCAAATCGCCGTCCTCCGTGCGGCCAATCCCGAGCAATATCGGCTAGACTCTCGGCTACTCTCGGCTGCCGATCCCGAGCGACTTGGCGTATCGCCCCCGGCCGTGCCGGATGAACGCCTCCGTCTCCTCCTCCGAGAAGAACTTGTGGAACAAGATCACCTAGAAGGTTCCTAGAATGTTCCAAGACGGTTCCTGGCCTCCGAGAAGGTGTTTGCGAAAGAGGGTACTCACCGGCGGGTCCACCGAGATGCGCTCCGGCTGCAGCTCCGCAAACTCGCTCATCACGCGCTCAAACGTCGCGTGCATCACGCCGGGCGGCAGTGCGGCCGTGTGGTTCGCAGGTGTCGGGCAGCGCGCGGCGTACTGCCGCTTGCCAAGGTCGAGCTTGGCGCAGCTGTGGTTGCAGTTGATGAGCATGAAGCCCGGGTTGGACTTGCACTGCCCACTGCCCGCCCATGCCAGACACTCGGCCGGGTTTAGCCACGAGTCCGGAGGGCCGAGGTCCTGAGGCTCTGGAGGTCGCACGAAACCGGAGGAGCGAGCCTCATAGGGCCGGGTCGCATCCGCTTCGGGCGGAGGAGGTGGCCCGAAGAAGGTGAGCGCCAAGGCGGCCGAAATCGGCACCAGAAGCCAGAGCGTGCACTTACGAAATCGGCGCCACTGACGAGAGGAGACAAATGGCGCTCGCGGCTGCTTGGGACGATCTGGCTCTGCCTTCTTCTTGCCCATAGCGAAAGCGCGGCGCGCACGTTGCAAAAAGTCCCAACGCAGGCGCGGCTGCCGGGAAAGAGTGCACAACGCTGTCGGAAAAGAATTTTACAATGCGACGCGATTCACGCGACAGGCGAGGCGCGGGCGACGGCTTCCTCAGAAGCCGTCCAAAACAATTTTTTTCAGGCGCCCGCCGCTTGTGGACACACCAAGTCGCGTGCGTCCTCCGACGATGCCCGCGGCGGGCGCTCCCGCTGCCTCCGTCGCCGGCGACAGTATCTCGATCACAGATTGCGCATCGAGTATGCGGCGTCCCCACGTAGATGCGCGGCAAGACCGTCAATCTGGGGGCGTTGGCAGTTTAAATCAGACTTCACGTCGAGAGCTCCTCAAACGTCGAGAGCTACTCGGTACACGAACGGGTGATGCTGTCGTGGGCACACAAAACTTCTTCTTCGCTTGGTTTGGTGGAGGGAAAAATTGCGTGGTGGACGTCGAAGCGATGGCTCAGACCTATGGTCGCCACGTACAGCATCTTGTGTTTTTTACGCAGGAGGACAACAACAATGCTTGCCGGAAAAAGCTCGAGGTGCTAACAGCTCAGCACGAGCACTGGTCCCACGTTTTGTGGCCAGGCAAAAGGATTTGGACCGGGAAAACCGCGTCGATTGGATTGTGGGACACTATCGTCAATGTCAGCTTGCAGTATATGCAGAAGCATCCACACCTGAGGTGGATCGCCCGCAGCGACGCCGATACTTGGTGGAATGTGCAAGCCCTCGAGACCTTCCTCA